GATTTGATTTGCCACATTAAGACATACCCGCTGCCAACAACGTCTGCCAGATTTTCTACCAATGATGTTCAATTACGCTCGATGACGGCTTATTCAGCTCGGATGCCAGCATCCTCAAGCAGTGCACGAAAAGTGTGCCGGTAAATGTTGAAAGCGAATATTTTAACAATACAAATAGCTGCATTCACGGCAGCACTCTAAAATTACATCTGTGGTTGTTGTTATGAGAAACGAAATGTTGAATGGCAATTTCAATTGTGGGCTTTACAACTGCGAGAACGGGGCAATTGTACGTCCGCCACGGACAGCAAAAGTAGTTGCTACGCCACCGTATCCACGCCAACTATGACCCCCATTTGTTTACGCACCCTACTGGGTCAAACGAGGGATCATCCAAACCATCATACAGTATTCAAGTCGTGCTGGGCGGCTATTCGGGCCTTTCTAGCACGCAAATTAAATTGGGTTTGCTGTAGGAATGGTTGCTTCTAAATCTAAAGTACAACTTCCGAACCGTCTAATGTGGATTAAAAACTTGGCAGACCAACTTCCAATCGGGTAACGAATTAACGTACCAATGCACGCAAATACAGCAGACAAACATCGCACAGGGAAGGTTTCCAGTAGACAGGCGATTCATTCGTTCAGCTTCAATGACGACATCTTGTCAGGCAATGGACGCGTTTGCGAATTCGCATCTGCGCATCTATCAGCTCCTCTCACTCTTGGAACAGGCTGATATGACGTGCGCAGTAATCTCCTATTCACTACTATTCAAGTATCCACACTGATATTTCATAGTGTGATATAACTGACGATTGCTTCACCCGGCAAGCTCACATGGTCTTGCAATGCGCTTTCCAAACGTCCTAGTTTTCCGAACGAAGAAACCGTGTCTACATTATCTCAGGCTGATCATGAAAGAGTACGGCGCTGCGAATACCAGCACGGAAAAAACATAAGTTGAGCATATCCCTCGGGCATGACTCACTGGAAGACGGCCCTTGCGCTAGACATCAGATATCGTTTCAACCCCCGTACGAACACATAAACTTGCGTATGTGCATACATATTTTGGAAACGCTGTGAAAACCCACACGTCCCTACGCGCTGCCAGTGACGTGCTATACAACCAGGTATGTAAAAAATAGGCAAGCAACCTGATCGAAACATGTCATTAATTTCTAGACAAGTAAGTATATGTACACTCATATTGTAGCGACAAGATAACGCGGCAGTGAAACACTATCTTTATTGGCGCGCACACACCCACTACCTAATCACTTACACAGGCGCACGTTAATTTGTCAGGTTTCTTTCCCACGCTGCACCATCTCTCCTGGCCTCCTCTCTTGGCACTTCTATGCTCCTTCCGGGGTACAGACACGCATCTTCTATGTCGGTTTCGCCCGTGTAGCTTCGCTTCCACGCCTCCGATTCTGACAAACCCGAAGTCGTTCGATAGCGTGCGTTTTGCTTGTCCGTGAGTTTTTCACTCTTCCCGGGGTTGTTTCTTGAAGATGCGATACCGGCGGTTTTGTCCGATTTGTTACGTCTTCAACAAATGCTCCACCTGGTTTGCCTGCCTCCGGCTCACCCACGGATGCCGCTTCTGTCCCGTTTTCGTCCCGTTCTGTTGGGCCTGGGTTTCTCCAGCGAATCGCCTCAATTGCATCGGTCTCCCTATTCGTCCGCCTCCGTTTTAATGATCTAACCGTTCTTTGGGCAAGCGCTACCTTCCGCCTCTCTAAAATATGTCGAATAGCATGACGACATCCCACAACGCTGATATCCTTAATGGCTGCTCCGGCAATGCATTCAAGGAACTGCACCCTCCATTCCATCTGCGTCATGAGTTTTGGGGATCCCCGGCCCAGAAGTCCCTCGTAGTGCACTATCATCGCGTTCTTCACTTTGGCCTTCACCACCTGCCAAACATTCTCGGCCGGGTTGAGGAACGGAGAGTACGGGCTCAATCTCAGTGTGGTTACTCCCTCGTATCCATCTACGGACGGCAGTTCTTCCAGTCGTGTGTGACATGGTGCATTATCATATACTACGACAAGCTGCCGGAGCCCCATCTCCCGCTTCAGGTTATCTAAATAGCTTCGCAGCCATTCTAGAGATAGGGGACCTGTGAATGAGTCGCTCCGGGTGGTCATCGACACCTTCGCTTCCGGTGTGAGTGCACCGAGCAAATGCAAATCTAGGCCACTACTGTTGACAATTTTTCAACAGGCCCTCACTCCTCTGGGCGCCCGACCACGAATACGTTTGCATTAAACTTTGAAGTTCGCTTCATCAACCCAAATGAAGAAATTGTTCATCACTCTGCTGATCGAATTCCCTACGTATCCCTTTGGTTCGCTCATTGTTCATTCCATCGGGAACCTGACAGATGTTCGTCATACAATCAATTCACCATCCAGGTGTCGTATGATTGTTGACTTCGGAATGTCCTTGCCCATGTCTGCTCGTACTCGTACTCGCATTTACCGTAGCGTAAGAGTTGAGTACCTTGCGACATAATCCAGGATGTCATCTACGTCTTCCTCCGACAGAATCCGCTTACGACCGCGCGCCTGCGTAGTACTCGGCTCCTGATCAAGAGAACGACGAATCCAGGGGTAGGCTGTTTGATATTTGACGTTGTTCACAGTTGTCACTAGCTGCCGGTCATCACCGTTGACAAAACCGCCTAAAACTCGGTCACGAATGTATGATGAGATACTCTGTGGAACGCGCGAAGGCATGCTGACGATGTTAGAATCATAGGCATGGTTTCGTTCGTGCGCTTATGTTCTGGCTGTTCATTGCTCGCAGACCACTTGTGATCCACCGTTTCGGACGTGAGGGGTGGGGTGGGGCGGATACAAGCCCGTTGCACCGCCGACGTTTATGCCGCTAAGGTTCATTCACAAGTTTCACCCAGTCAACGGGCAGCGCGCTCACCTCCTCAGACTAACGCACCGAACCTTGGCATCCGCGCAATGAGAACACGCTTAAGGTCAGATGATTGTCTCTAAGCGGCTGGCGAATCGCACGAGGTGTTGCAACACACTGGACTTTATTTGCAATCTTTTGGATTTTCTTTGCAAAGTTTTGCGCGTTCTTTTCAAAATGTTGTACGAATTTTCAACTTGGGTGAATACTATTATGATTGGAGGGTCGTTTTTAAGTATTCATTGTTCAACTATGTTGCTGCGCTTATTCGCATGTAAACCACGTTTCACATTGTGGGGATCCTTGCTCAATGCGACCACCAGGAACGCACTCGTAGCAGATGGAATTTGGGTGCTGCCCTTCCAATAACACCGCACACCACGATGCTTTTCGATTTGTTTTGTTCTCACCTGGTGAAGATAGCGGGTCTCCATCGTTCGCCCACTGGATTTGTAGCCAAATCCTCTACATCTTTTGCTACCGTGTCTGGACGTGCAAAGCTTGGCACAACGTTTTGTGACTGATTGGACGGTCATTTTATGGCTTTGTTAGCGGCGAAATTCCCTTTAATTTCAGGACTAGTTTCCAATAACCGGATACCGGGAAACAGTTTGGAATCCTAAGTCTCGCCCACATACCAACGCGCAAGATAATTATCGCTAGCTACAAAGAAGAGCAAATTGTAAATACTTGCTTGAACGATAAGATTGTTGCTTCAGTTAAATTGAGACTTATAGATCTGCAATTTGAGGCTGCGTATCTAGGCTTGGTGTTTTATCACGCCAACTTCTAGGATCTTTCCATTAATGCTATTTAAAACTTATGCTAAGAAGCTAGTTATGGTACGGTCTTCCGACTTGTTTTTTCAATACTGATCAGGAAGACTACCATATGCGCACATAATCTGTATACCATTTTGCAGAACAAAACAAATAATGTGTAATGCCTCACCGAGTAATTGTATTTTTCCCTAGCTTCGAGTTGCTCCCAGGTAACTAGGTAATGTAGACGAATTGATCTCAATGGCATCATGAGGTCTGAAATGCAATTTATATTCCGAAAACTCTCCATGACGTCTTCCGATGTATCCCAACTCCAACCCTTATGCATGAGTCCGAAAAAATCCGGAGCTTTGTGTTGGATCACAAGGTGGTGACCCAATGTAACTGTGTGAACTACAAACTGCTTAAGTGTTTACGCAGTTGCTTATCTCGAAAACAGGTACTTTCTCAACATGCGACAGACATCTGGTTAAATGGTGCGTAAGACGCCCTTGGGAATTTTCCCCAAGCTTCGACTGCAACCAATAACCAATTAGCACAAATGTGTAAACGCTATGGACCATGCATTGAGACTCAAAACAAAAAGGTTGCATATACTTTGATGTTTCCTGTTCGAAGCTGCAGAGAACACAGACCGTTGGTATCCGGTATTGATCAACAATAAACAAAAGTCTGTCTAGTATTTTGCCTTCTGAGAACCGATGGTTTTTCTCTGGTGTAAACTGCCTTTTGCATTATAGGGACCAGAGGAAATCTTTGTTTGCCTTTTTAAACCCAACTTATCAGTCTTTTCCAAGTTTCACCCCAGCGCACAGGGACACTTCCAGAGAGTAAATTTGGTGAAACGGAAGGAGTGGCATTGCAGGCGTTAGTTATTGCTTTTTTAATCGTGTGCGCTGCTAACTAAAACGTAGTGTATCAATATTTCATGTGCTTCCAAACTCTCCACTTCATGGTGCTTTTTCTTTTGCAGCTTGAAACCCCATTCCTTAACTGTAGCTTAACTAGTTGCATGCTGCGAAGCACGATATTATCGATGCACTTAGTGGAGATGAAGTCTTTTTGAGACAATGTACCATCGCTGTGGTAGTTTAGGAATGTAATTTGGATTTTTCGTCTCGGCCCGATTCAGAACAGCGCGTGCACAATATGGTTAAAAGGGAGGTGAACACCCACACATAAACCAGAGTCGAGTGGAAACGAACTGTTCTTTATTGCTTCGTTCCGCATTCTAAACAATAAACACTTAGCATACGAATAATTCAATTATTTTAGGCCGAATTCATGTCCCATCTGCCCGATGAACCCACCCATGAAAAGCCTAAACAAGAAATAGGCAAGAAGGCGATTTACAAGTAAGTGTGTCACTTTTTCTTGCCTACTGTCGTGTTTGGGTTGAAACGGTTTCGGACGCTCGTCTTGACTCAATCAGTTGGTACTTACTACTGCAAATATGCCGCATTGAAGAGTGCAAACACCAGTACCTAGACACACAGTATACAAATAGCTTTTAATTACCTTCAGTAAGTCCTGTAGTTAGTTTTCTATCATTCTACTCTAGATTATCGGACGAGTCTGGTAAACTGAAAGTTTCGTTGGTTTGCGAGGAACATTTATCTCGGGGGGCCCTCACGCACGATGACGCTTATTTCATCGACAATGGAGTCAGCCTGTTCGTATACATCGGCAAGAATTGCTCACGAGCAGAAAAAATCAACGCCATACCTCATGCACATGTAAGTTGGACATTCTAACTACGAAACTATGTTTGGTTGCCGGCTTCCCAGCATAATATATGACGTTAAATGGTTGCACGCCAAATTTTGAATGGTGCAGATTACAACCAGTTACAACTTCGTTTGAATTAGACGACAAATAGAAAGTGGCCTAAAGTTTGGTGACCAGCCACCTTTGTGCACACACTGAACACTGTTTTCTTGATGCCGCGAAAGTGCATTCCAGAATGTTAAACCAAACCGTCATGTTAATCTTTAGGTTTATATGTGAGGGATTATAATGACAAATTCACTCTTGTTTAACCGCCGTTACATTTTCAGGAGTACCTGAAAGGAACTACTCATCCATTCGTCCCCATCGTGGTTGTCTCAGAGGGCCGCAAATCCAAAGAACTAGACAAAGTGTTGGAATGAGCAAACTTTGCGTATTTGGCTTGCCACAGCTACAGCGCTTCAGATTCACAGCTTGCCCCGTCTTTACTCATGTTCTTCTGTTAATTGAATTCAGTTTTCCATAAGCAATTCTCGGCTTCTAACTGGATGGATGTGCTCGTGTGAACAGCAGTGTAGGGTGAACTACTGGCCAGAAACTGGTATACATAACCTGTGATGTACTCATGTGATGGTTAGCATGAGAACGGCGTCATCCTGCTTTGATTCGCAAGGTCAGAATAGACTAAACAGCGCAGTAGCTAAGGCATATGAAATCATAGAATGCACCGGAGAGAGGGCGACTTATTTGCGGTTCTAAGCATCTACTTAGCAAAGGTGGGACAAAATGCAGGAATTTCGATCGAAACTTCCAGATATGATGGACGAAAATATTTTTGAAACTGTCGTCAACGGCCAGTTGCACCAATTTCTCCCATTTGCGAACAGAAACTCGGTGAGATAGATTTTCACGTGGGCTGCTGATCGATACAACCAACGCCCCACTACGCAACGGTGGTTTTATTCTGTCCTAACACAGAATCTAATACCGATAGAATGTCCACGAGCTAGGTTAAGAACAAAATGAGACTGCACAAATACACCAAAACATCGATCCTTAATTCCATAGGACGACAAATATTATAGTTGATAAATGTAGCAGGACCATACGTTTTTCCTTCTGGGATGTGGTAACAAAAGGAAATCCACTTTTCCACACTATGTAAGGCGCCACTAACCTACTAAACATGACGATTCGATAAGTTTAAGAAACAAGGAATTCACGAGACTCTAGTTGATGTACGCATTGGTGACATGTTCTGTCGTGTGTGATACCTCTGTAGAATCAGCAGCCGTTCCAATACATATCCTATGTCTTCCTTAGACGTAGGCATTTACCGTGAGCGATAGTCGTTTCCCGAACTTTCCCTTCCCTCATGTCTGAATCCGGAGGACTCCTGGCCACATGCGGGGCATGTAAACGACAAGCGCTGCACTCTCGTGACCCGAATCCCACAAGCACATCCATTATAGCCCCAACAGAATATCAGTACCTGGTAAAGCGCTAACAGCAGACTCAATGCTCATTAATGTGGCAACGTTCGCTCACTTATCTAGGCTAATGGATTCGTGGGCAGTCCGGCATGTCGAGCATACAACTGAGTAGCGACCTGTGTTACTGCCTAACAGACGCTAGATGCAAACAAATTTGTGCGTAGACCTAAGACCGAACGTCCCACACTGTCATGCAGAAAGCAACAAGCGAGGAGTCGCATAATCTTGGCGCTCATTCTGAATACTTAGTGAACACAGAACACTTAGGATGAATAGCCTCTGGCGGGGCCTACCAAACCAACACACTCGCAAACGCCTCGTACTATACGGAACAATGTTGCACTGTAATGGGAGGTAACAATGTAGCCAGCAACTGGCGCTTCTATCACCACACACTCACAACCGAGTGACGTTATTTCACTTGAGAACTATCCGTCAATTATGGACTGTAGTGATGCTAAAAGCGTCATTTTTTGAAGTATTAAATTTACGTGAGTTGAAGCAGAAGGAAATACCAAACTGTTGCAACGGCGCACATGTGCAGGCAGAGTTGCGGCGAAGCTTAAGGTAGTTCGCTTTAACTCACTTTGCCAACTGTGGTAGTAGTATCGGTCGGCGACGCAATTAAAATTATGTTAACTAATTATGATGGTATGACATGATAATAAAGGAGAATATAAAGAATGTGAATGAATAATGGGTGAAAACGGTGAGCAAGGTAGCAAAGCAAAAATTCATTGGATATCTTATCGTGCAACAACTTTCTTTACGTGTTAAGGCAGCCAGTAGTATGTAGCAAGACGCCGTATGAAATAAAACTGTTCGTTTGGCTAGCGTACTCTGTCGGGTGCGGTTTATAATCACGGCTTTATCCGACCCTGGGACATCCAGTAGACGTAAGCCCAATATGGATAACGGAACATTGTAGTTATCGGAGATTAAAAAGCGAATATAACATCCCGTAGATTTTCGCACAACTAGACCTGAGCCCCTGAACCTAACTGTCCCGTATACACGGGCTCCTGAGGATTAAAGAGAAAAAGCAACATGATATAGAAAAATGTTGGTTATATGCAAACAGGTGGTTAAAATAAGACGGAAGTTAGAGATATTTTCGAAAATAGGTCGACTTTTCATCTAACGCTAATATTTCACCTTTGTGTGCCAATCCACTCAGCAGGATTAGCCTATATAGATCCTCAGTTCAATAGAACCTTTCATTTCTTCCACTGTGGCATCCTTGAAATTGTTACATTCTAGTAGTTGGGCTTTCTATATGCAACTGGTGGGCTTGGAGGTTGGTTTTCTCCTTCAGGTTTTCCCAGAATGTATCATCCAAAACAAGGATAAAAAGTTAATCGGTTCACACTCTTCTGGGATAGATCCAGAAATGTTCACTGGGTCTTTTCCATTTTCAGAGAAATTCAGGTCCGTATTTGGTGATACAAAATTCCTTGTCCGACCCTCATCACTAGCTAAATCACCCCCATCACTCGAGCTGTCACTGTCTGTGTCACTTGACTTGGAAACGTATTCTTGATGGAATTCTGACTCCTCAGCTTTTGACTGTGATAAGCCCAGACCTACTACGCTTTCTTGCTGAAGTGCTTGGTTCATCGGCCGCTCGTTCCATTGTGAATTTTCGTATTTCTTTCTCGTCAAACCACACATAGGCATTTCAACTACATCGGGGCAGACATTTGCAATGGGTAACCTTAACGTCTGACCAAGATTGGTTGTTTATTTTTAGTTCGTGACGCATTTTTTGCACGTACTAGGCAAAGTACCGAAAATTGGATACAGCGGCTTAGTGACAGAATCGGAAGTTACCGAAAAATCGGTACAGCTGTCTGGTAGGGTTAATGAGAGTACAACCGAAATAACGGTATCGAAAAATGATACTAATTCGTTGGTTCACACTAAGGTTCGCATGTGCAGTTTGATCAAGTTAGGTTGTGTCTAATGAACACAGGTGCAGCGGAGTATTACACTGATTGGAAGATTTCTCTGAAACCTACTTTCTATTGTCACTTGGATCGCACATTTCGGTTCATTCACATGACCTACCAGCATGGTTACGAGGACCGCTCGTGCACTGAAATATATCCTCATAATTCCCGGATAATTTGATCAACTTATCTAACCGCCCTCCCACGTGCTTGTCTTAGTAACTGTTCCATCCTCCATACGCCCACACCCTTGTTCAATGGTTCACGCGTGGTTTACACCGTCAATCCATCACCAAGGTTTATATGACCTCAATTTAACTTTGTCTAGACGGTAACAAACGCCCCATGCGCATGGTCTGATGTCGCTCTCTCCATGGCGTTGTAACATTATGAACACATACTCTCGGCGATTTGTAAACCATCCGTTTTGACCATAGACTACGGTCTTGTGTGTGTGTATGTGTGTGCCTTACGTTCACCTCTAACCCTTTCTTCACTGTGATGATGATTGGTCAGTGACTTGTTAATAGTTCACGCGTCTATCGTGGGTTCACTTGTCCTGCTTTGAGCAGTGATTTCAACAGTGCTTTTCCTCCCGGCCCGTTTACTTACGAATCCTTGTCGCTGGCGATATACCGGGACCCTTAACAAATGAGGTCGACCCAATTTATTTAACTGTATATATTTTTATAGTCCGGTATATATTGCGAGCCAAACTTGTTCCGATTTTGGGATTATTGGCTACCTGTGATCGATCGTTCGAGCCGTTGTTTAACTTCGCCTCACGCAGAACTAGCACAATGGGTTTCGGAGGAGTGTTACGAGGTCGAAAAATGGGAACGTCCCGGCGGCATTCTAACCGGATACACAATGGTCAACTTTAGGTTGTGGACCCTTCTATGAGGGGATTTGGCGGGGTTTCTGTTGTAAAAGCTTCCCTCACTCCTGATCTTTTTGCTGCCAACCGAGCCGGGGAAGAGATATAACACCGAGGCCTGCTAAACTAAATTGTGATAGGAATACAATACGGTCAATTTTATAGGTCACATGCTATCATCTTCGGCTGCACGTTTCTGATTTGACTGATGTCAATTGTCTGGTCAGATTCTAAATCTGCTAGCGGTTCGCAATGGCCAGCCGTAGTCGCACTCACTCACGTTTGTCGCATAGCAACATGTGTCATGATGACGGACTGATTCCCACAGCGGTATTAGCCTAACGCCGGTAGTGACCAAAGTACTAGCCTCAGTTCCCATTCGTCGCATCACATGGGGACTGGATTCCCGGATTCGGGAGGTGCAGGCAGGTTTCCATCCAGGACGGGGCTGTATAGACCATATATTCACTCCTCGCCAGGTGCTGGAACAGCGCGACACATATCGCAGGCCAACCATACCTGTGTTCCTGGACTTAAAGAGTGTGTCCGACTCAGTCGATCGATTCATCCCAGCGGAAATATTTGTACGGAAAGTTGTTCCCAAGAAATGTGGGAGCATTTTAAGTACCCTGCACTTGAGCACCACGGGATATGTCAAGGTCTACGTCGACTTATCAAGTAGCTTTCCGACAACAAGTGGCATTCGTCATAGTTATCTAATTTTCCCATTTTTGTTCAACCTCGTCTTGCACTCCAACGTAGTGTTCCCTTGAGGATCTCACGATGTAGGCGTTGAGGTACTGTATGGGAAAAGCTAGTTGTTCCTCATTGTGTTGACAGTATTGCCATGCTGTTTAACGATGCCTGGTAGACCCAGGCAACTATAAAGAACCTCCATAACGTAGTCTAATGAATTGGCATACACTTCGTACCTTCAAAGCGTAAAGTGTTCTTGCAGGACCACCAGCCACTCGATGACACTTTGACTTCAGAACAACAGGTTATTGAACAAGCTCGTTTTCGGTGGCTCTCGTCAGGCTAAAACACCACAACTGATAGGAATAAGATTAACATAAAACTGGACGCAGGGGAGCGAAGACAATTCGATACCTGTGTTCAACGAATAGTCACAAAGCAAGAGGAGAAACGTTAAGCCTCATTGCGGCGGCAGGTTTGCACAACTAAGGCAAACACTTTATTCCCCCCCCCCCACCCCGAACCGGAAAGATATGTTCACAATTTTACGCCGTTGCATTTGGATAGGACATTGATTGAAGTGCTCTCACTTGGTCCAAACTTTTGCTGCCACCGCAGTTATTCAAGACAATGAGAATTAGAAGTGCAGTTTGAAAATTTGTATGCCCAAATTTCTATGCTTACGCAGTCGTCAGCATTAGCGTCTGAGCATTTTAAGTCTACTCTGGTCAATACTAGTTACCAATATCTGAAATACAAACCTAAACTTAGGTATTTGCTGAAAAAAGACCACCTAGATGCTCTCATAGCTCTCAAAGAAAATGAGAATGTGTTGCTTTCAAGGCCGGATAAGGGGGGCAGGGATCGTGTTGATGGAGAAAGCTGAGTACATCAACAAGCTGAAGGCCATCCTTAGAGATCGCTCGAAGTTCCGGAAAATGGGGAATGAAAAGGATAAAACTGCAGCAATAGAAAAGAGAGTTACTAAGCTTCTGCGGCGCTTGAAACAGGAAAACATGATTGACTCCGCCACGTTCGAATACATTCGTCCCACTGGGACGGTGATCCCGAGTCTCTACGGCTTACCGAAGGTGCATAAGGAAGGGCTTCCACTAAGGCCCATACTAGACATGTGCAATTCACCGTATCAGGCAACAGCCAAGTGGTTAGCTAAACTTCTAGAGCCGGCGAGAAATATTATGTCCAGGTACAGCCTACGAGACACGTTCAGTTTCTTAGACTCCATAAGAGCTTCAGCTAACTGGAAGAAAGATGTTTTCGTTGGATGTGGTGTCGCTCTTCACCAATATTCCGTTAGAAAAGACAATAGACTATATATGTGACACCGTTCGAGACCATCAATTGGGTATTGGCCTTTCAAGTGATCGATTGAAACAGCTACTCTTGCTGTGTACTAGTAACATACAATTTCAGTTTAACGGGGCCATATACAGACAAAAAGATGGAGTAGCAATGGACTCACCGCTTGGACCGCTACTAGCTGCTGTGTTCGTGAGCAAATTAGAGGATACCTGTCTGAGCAGTGTCATTACCGGTCTACCATATTACGGACGATATGTGGATGATATATTTTGCGTGACAGACAGGCACTGTTGCCCAGAGACAATTTTAGCCCATTTTAACTCAGCGCACCCTAATACCAAGTTCACCCTAGCAAGTGAAGGCAATGACACGATGTCCTTCCTAGACGTTCAGCTTAGTAGAAGACCAGATGGATCGCTCCAACGGAGGGTGCATAGAAAAGCAATATGAAACGGACAATATATATTGTTGCCAGTTTTGTCCCAATAAATCAGAAACGCAACTTGATTAGATGTCTAACCGAAAGGTTCAGAAGGATTTGCAGTGAGGACACACTTGCGGACGAGCTCAGTTGCTTAAGTGGCGTTTTCGAGAGAAATGGCTATGCAGAGAAATTTGCTCGGAAATATATGGAGTGCAGAGAAATGGGAGCTAAACCAGCTTCGGTAGAAAAGAAACCGGTTTATTTGTCGTTGCCGTTCAAAGGGGATGGTATAGCGCAGGCAACATCTAGAAGATTATCCGACGCTATGAGCCATACCTACTACGCAGCGAGCTTGCGGCTAAGTTTTACCTCAACACCAATCGTGAGGCCTCAACTCAAAGACAGACTTCCTTGGTCATGTGCTTCTTACTGTGTATATTCCTTCTCTTGTTCATGTCGAGCAAGATACATCAGAAGAACTACTAGGAGGCTGTCTGAGAGAATACGTGAGCATTGTCCAGCTAATCTACGCAATGGGGGAGAAAAATTGTGATGAGCGCCGTGTTGGCACACTTGGTTGATTCTAATCACCAAATCGACACCCGCCAATTTTTCCAAGCCATTTACCGTGTACCTGGACGCCTTTCACGAGCGGTAAAATGTCGCTTACTAGCAGCAGCTGAGGCAATTGTTATCCGCCACCAGAATCCAGACTTATGTGCTCAAAAACGGTTCGTTCAGATTCTGTGTTTACCCTGGCCCGCTATCACAACGACTCATGTTGAGGGACATGCCGCCCACAAGTCATCGAGCACTTCTGATCTGATTACTTAGCATTTTCATTCCAATGGCCTTGAACTTTGAACTTTACCATTATCTGCTGTTTTATGTTGATCTTATTCCTATCAGCTGGAGTGTTTTAGCCTGACGAGAGCCACCGAAAACGAGCTTGTTCGCAAACTTGTTGTTCTGATGTCCACGCCTGGGATATTTTTTCACTTGACTCCTTGACTCTTGATAGCGGGAACTCGAAGTAGTTCACTTACCTTGGCAGCTGCATCAGCAACTATGGGGGGCAGAACAATTGAACTCAGTTCATGTGTTGTAAAAGTCAGAACTGCATTCCTGATTCTGAAACATCTTTGGCGCCAGAGGACGTAGTTTCAAGGCCACAGCGATGGCCGTCCTACTTCATAGTAGCGAAACTTGGCCCCTTCGATCGGAGGCACTTTCAAGTCGGTCTGAGGAGCATCGCTGATGTCGGGTGGCACCAGCGTGTCCGCAACGATGATATGCGTAGGTGAATGCTAGGCAATGATGATCAAGCGAGTTCCTTAGGCCAACAGATAGCATCGAATAAGTAGCGTTGGTTTGGGCACCTACCACGTATGGCTGATCACAG